TAAAATTACCAGATCATAAGACTGGTAAAGAATGACACAGAAAAATACACATGAAATTTCATAAAATCATGTGTAATATTGAAGATATCACTATGAATAAAAGATATTACTATAATTAAAATAATTATAAGAAAATATGAACAATTCAGCAATAACAAATTAATTTGATCCAATGGACAAATCCTAAGACAGTTATTTTATGATAAATAATGCACAGAAGAAAATAACAAAAATATATTCATGGCAAAAGAAGACTAAATTAGTAATTAAAATTGCACTCAAGGTAAAGACCAGGCCCAGAACATTTTATGGATGCATTTGAAGAGGAAATAACAATAAATCTCCAAGAACATTATTCAAAGTTACAGAAATCATACATATTCAATGAGACCTTTATATGAAAAACATTCAAATATATCAGAAATCAAAGAAAAATACAGACAAATATAATTTATTAATTTAAGAAAGAGCCCTCAAGAAAGCATAATAAATTTAATCTTGGAATAGGAAAAAACTATTACCCAGATAGAAGACATGAAATTTACCCAGGAAATATAAAGGTGCTTTATTATCTGAGGCATCAATTTAAAGCACATCATACAAATAGACTAAAGAATAAACCTATATTGTCATTTTAATGAATGTAAACAAAATCATTTGATGGAGAAAAACTACTTTTAGGATTAAAAATAAAACTCAACCTTGTCCTGGTGCTCTAGCTGTATGTTGAACTTCTGACAAGCACCTGTGAGGCCTTGGATCTGATCACAAGCTCCACAAAATAAATACATAAATGCAAAGAATATAATGTAGTTTTTAAACTGATAAAGAGAAACTACAAAAACCTCACCAGTTATATCATAGTGAGTGGAAAAAGAGTACCTTCCTTCTTTCTAATACAAGGAATAATATGAGAAGTTCCTCTTCTGCCTCTTTTATTCAATATTGCATTAGAAGATGAAATAGGAGGAAAGCTGTCTTAAAGAAAGAAGTTAACACATCTTACTGGCAGATGTATAAGTCAAGGCAGGGGGCATCACAGTCCTGGAATTTTAATTATACTACAAAGCTATGGTGCTGGCAAAAGAACAGACCTGAGGATCAATGGAACACGTTAGAAGATGCAGAAACAACTCCAGACACACTCAGCCATATAATCTTTCACAAAGTAGCCAAACACCTTTAACAAAAAGAAACCTCTTTAAGAAAAATAGCCTCTTTAATGAATGCTGCTGGAAAACTGGGGTTTCCCTTACTGAAGATTAAAACTAGACCTGTATCTCTCACCATGGACTAAAAAAACCCAGCTTTCCACATGCCAAAGATTTAAACTAGACCCATGTCTTTCACTTCCCACTAACCTAAAATAAAAATGGATCAAAGATCTAAATAATAAAACATAAACACTAAAACTGGAAGAGAGAATTGGTAGAATGTTTGAGAACATAGGAGCAGACAAAGTGTTTATGAGAAAAACCCAGGTTCCATGGGAAATACTATAAAGAATCAATAAGTGAGACCTAATCTTGTTAGAAAGATTTTTCATGTCAAGAGAAACTACCAATAAAGGGAAGAGACAACCCACAGTGTGGGAAAAAATTTTTACCAGCTATTCAGAAGACAAAGGATTAATATCTAGGATATACAAAGAACTTAAAAAAAATCAGACCACCCCTTAAATTTAAAGACTCACTCCCAAAATAGGCATCTTGAATAAAAAGACACTTTTAAGAGGAAGAGTTAGAAACATCAAATAAATATAAGAAAAATGGTCTATATCACTGTTCATTCGTGAAATGCAAATTAAAACAGTGTTGACATTGACGGTTATAACTGTTATGTACTGACTTATTACTGACATGTTATAGGTCTTTTGTTGACTCTTTTTACTTTTTCACCTTCTCCTTTTAGCCTCAACTCACCAATCAAGAGAAATAGACTGGCAAAATGGAATAAGAAGCAAAAACCAACAATATGTTGTATACAAGAAACACACCTACTGCAAAAAGAAGCCCATAGACTGAAAGTGACAGGATGGAAAACAATTCTCCATGTGACAGGAGCCCAGAAAAAAGCAGGTGTAGCAATCTTATTTGCAGACAAAGCAAATTTCAAACCAAAACTGATTCTAGTATTATTGATGTAGGACGGTACTGTATCATATCTCTGTGAATGTAAAATACCTTGTACCTGCTTCATGATACATGGTAGTGACCATGCTTTATCAGAGCTGTATTTAATGATAGTACTCTAGAATGTTCTCTTTCCTGTTGATGATTAAGATGCTAATAAAAAAATGATGCCAGGTACCACAACAGCAACAGAACTTTGCTGTTTTCTGGATAGTATTCTTTTCTTTTCTTTTCTTTTTTAATGCAATGTGTTGAATGTCTAGAATTTTGTTCAGATGACTGCAGAACCTGAAAAAGCTGTTGCTGCTATTGATGCATAACATACTGCTATTATTGTTCTTTTTATATAAATATAAATATACATATATACATATATAATTTGAATTTTTGGAAACTTTAATGGTGCTGTCAACTTTGGAAAAAATTATCCCAATTTAGTGTTGAGTTGGCATTGTACAGAAATGGACAGCCATATTGGTCTAGAAATGTTAATTTTTTAATTTTTATTTTTTTCCATTTGTACAGGGGTAACTCACTGTATTAAATATGTAAGATCATATCTATGTGGGTTTGATTACAGAAACTAATAAAGTATTCTCTAAATAATGAAAAAAAGAGAATAAGATAAGACTACAAGAACAAGAAGCAATTTACATATGTTAAGGGACAATTTTCATCTTCAGAATTAAAGATTATTTTAATCTTACATCATTGCCTTTTCTCTTTTACTTTCCTTTTTAGTTTTATTTTAGGATTCCCTATTTTTAATATTCATACAGTGATTTCTTTAACTGAAATACCAAATAGTTTCTGTGGTGTGAAAAACTATAATAGTACACAGGATCCTAATGAGATAATTAATAATGTGAAATGGGAAGTAAAGGGCTAAATGTGTAGGGAAAGTGGGAAGGGTGGGGGAAAGGTAATAAGGGAGAGGAAAAAATACGAGAAACTGAAAAAATGGAAATAAAGTGTTTGTAAATGGTGAGGGGAGGAGGGGGTGAAGGGAGGGCAGGGACAAAGGAGAAAAATGAGAATCAAGACCTATTGTCTAAAGGTACAGGATCCCAATAATTAATGTAGCTGTATTGTATACCTAGATTGCACCAATAAACTCAATAAAAAGAAAAAAAAAACAATGTTGAAATTTCACCTCACTCAGAAAGAATGGCTGCTATCAAGAAATCAAACAACAAGAAGTGTTGGCAGAGCTGAAGGAAAAAGGGAACCTTCTCCACCATTGATGGGAGTGTAGACTGCTGCAAACAGTGTGGAAATCAGTGTAGCGATTTCTCAAAAAACTAGAATTAGCAGTCCTATTTGACCCAGCTATTCCTCTTCTTGGTATCTTCCTAAAAGAATTAAAAGCATCATATCACATTGATATATGCATACTCATGTTTATAGCAGCACAGTTTGTAATAGCTAAATCTTGGAAACAGTCTAAATGCCTGTTAATCAATAAGTGGATAAAAATATGTGGGTGTTTTGTTTTGTTTTAACAATGGAGTACTACTCTGCCATAAAGATGGATGAACTTCAGTCATTTTTAACTAAATGGATGGACCTTAATACTATACTTTTGGGCCGGGGATTTAGCTCAGCAGTTCAGTGGCCTGCCTCGCAAGCGCAGGGACCCGAGTTCAGTCCCTGGTACCACAAAACAACAACAACAACAACAGCAACAAAAATACTGTACTTTTAAGTGAAATAAATAGGACACACATGTTTAAATGCCGCATTGTTTCTCTGGTGTTAGAAACCAAAATATGGAACAAAGTGTATAATAAATATTGGGGAATGGGAAAAGATTTCAAGTGGAGCAAGGAACTTGAACAGGGAAGGGGGAGAAAGGAAGGAAGGTGCAAGAAAAAATTGAAAATAGAAGACACATGAAAAATGCTTTTGTACATAGGGAGGGGAGGAGCCTAACGGGCAGGGGAGTGGGATAAAATAAAATTTATTTAAAAAAATAAAACAAAACTATCAAAAAATAGATACAACTATCAAGGGAAAATACATCAATGGAAAACTAGTCAATGAATATTAATGAAGTCCTTTGTAAAACCCAAAAGATAGGAAAAAAGTGTTCATTCACTTAACAATGAATCAACAAATATGCCACATACACACAATAAAATAAGATTTGGCAATTACAAGGAATATAACACTGTTAAATGCTACTACATTGTATTAGTATGGAATAAAATAACAGAGAACTATGTATTGTATGATCCTATTCATACAAAATGCTGAAAATGAATAAACTTCCAAAGACAGGAGGTCGTTTACTTGTTGCATATGTCTGAGGAATGTGGAATGGCTATAGATATAAAGTTAATTTTTGTGATGCTTAATTGCTCTAAATCTGCTTAGAGAATTTATAATTCTATAATTTTATTATGAACTGCTAAACTAAGGCTTTAACATTGATAAAATATATGTTTTATTATTGATATATCAACAATGTTTGTACCAAAAAACTACAGTACAACCCTATGCAACCATGTTGATTCACCATTTTCATAACTATATCTCTAATTCTATGTAAATTAGCTAGGTAGAAAAGTCACATTCACTTGCTATATTTTTTTTTTAATTTGCCACTATTCTTGACCTATTTCAAAATGTCTCATAGCACACGTGAATTGCAGATGTAAGGTCATCAAATTAACTGTACAAAATCACTTATAATTATGGATGAGTCACTTTATACCATATAAACACAAAGCCATCCCACTTTTGCTCTTTGCCCCAGCATCCAGATACCCTGATTGTGTTTTTATACATTTACTTTGGTGAATACAAGTTACATTTTAACTAAGTTACACTTTAACTACTTCATGATTTCCCCCTGGACACCAATCAGCAAGATCTTGCAGAGGGAACACAGGTTGAAAGGAAAGGCCACTCTCACCAGGATGTCTATGAAACTCACTGTTATTCTCCTGCTGCTTCAGCTGAGTAGTTACTTTGGTTCTGGGAGCTGTGGCAAAGTGCTGGTGTGGCCCATGGAATACAGCCACTGGATCAACTTAAAGACCATCCTGGATGTACTTGTCCAAAAGGGACATGAGGTGACTGTTTTGCGATCTTCAGTTTCAATGTCTTTGGACGTGGAGAAGGAATCTGCTATTAAATTTGAGACATATCCTACATCACTATCTAGAGATGATTGGGAGTACATGTTTACAAATGGACTCAGTAAATTGATTTATGAACTACCAAAAGAATCAAGTTGGACATATTTTTCAGTGTTGCAAGAATTAGTGTGGCTAGATTCTAATTACATGGAAATTATTTGTAAAGAATTAGTTCTGAACAAGGAACTTATGTCAAAGCTACAAGAACCAAGTTTTGATGTTCTTCTTGCAGATGCCTTGAGTCCCTGTGGTGAGCTGATTGCCGAGCTGCTGCATATACCCTTTGTGTACACTCACCGCTCATTTCCTGGCTACACGTATGAAAAGTACAGTGGAAAACTTCCATTCCCTCCTTCCTATGTGCCTATGGCTGTGTCAGAGTTAACTGATCAAATGACATTCATGGAGAGGGTAAAAAATATGATATATGTGCTTTATTTTGATTTTTGGTTCCAAACATTTAATGAGAAGAAATGGAATCAGCTCTACAGTGAAGTATTAGGTAAGCTCTATTTTTTGTTGATATTTTGAATTCCTAACTTTTCTGTGTCTTTGATGGTTTACTTGAATGAATGAAATAGCAGAGGAGTTCATCTTTCCTAATGTAATGATGAAGTAAAGGTATAAAATACTCTATCAATTTCAAAATATTCCAGAAAAACTGACATTATACCTTGTATTAGAAAGGCCTGGTCATCATTTGTACAGAACACTTTAGGAACTCATATATCAATAATACATAGCACTGAGGCTTTCTTTAAGCATTTATTTGTCTAGCATTTTATTGTTCATATATTTCATCTCTGAAAACAATGATTTTAAAATCCTCTATATGTCTTGATGAATATTTGCATGTAAATCGACAAATTTTACACATTTCTGTCTCTAGGTAGCACTCAAGAAACTGTTTCCTCTAATGTAGATTAATATCTTCATCTACAAATTAAGTGTTTTTTTTACTTTATTTGTTGAATTCCTTACATCTGGCAGATATAGAGCCTCTCTCCTAGACAGAGCATATAACGACATTAAACTTCAACTGATTTCACTTTGCTATACTATCTATCGTTTAAAGGCTTATAATATTTAATTATGAGCATGCAAGATATTAATCTACAGTTTTTATAAATCTATTATTAATGGTGGTTAATTCTCCCTTTTTGGAAAAATAAATAGTGAAAACAAATTCTACTACTATATTCTATAACCTTTCTAGGCCTTATTTGACAATGTATTTATATGACAACTAAAAGTTTTTAAGCTCTTAACATGAGCCCAAAGGAGTGAGTAGCTGCAGAGAATTTAGAAACACTGAAAATCCTCAGTTCACAGAGAACCAAGGGTAAAGATTCCACCTTCTAAATTTTAGAAACTAAATGAAATGTTCCCAAGAAAGGGGATTCCAGGACTAGATGATAAAGGACTAAATGATAAAGCAATTAAAATATTTCTTCATATTTTATTTGGTATTTAGGCAACTTTAGAAAGAATGCAAATATACATATACTGGTTTACTTAGACATTTGTTTATGATTGTAATTGAACTGAGGTGAGTTATGGACTTAGACTGCTCTCACAAATATCTTGTGCAATGATTTTCATACATCTACATATATATATGACTGACAAATATGTGATACATTTAAATTTATAGATACCTATTATGTACACATGAGACAGGTATGTGTATATACAACTGAATATATAGACATACATATAGAAACATAAATTGCTATCATCAAACATAGGCATTCTTAAACAGCTTCTGCTACACCATTGGAAAGTCTTTCAGAAAATGACCTCGTGCATGCATATTCACCTGGCAGTCATCTCACATTCCATAGCTGTTATATCATTTTCCTCTTCAGGAAGACCCACTACATTATCAGAGATAATGGGGAAAGCAGAAGTATGGCTCATTCGAACCTACTGGGATTTGGAATTCCCTCGCCCATCCTTACCCAATTTTGATTTTGTTGGAGGACTCCACTGCAAACCTGCCAAACCTCTGCCTAAGGTAAACATTGGTTCTGTTTGCTTCGCTCTTTCAGCAGGAAGTATGCCATGGTCTTCATTCGGAATATCTGACTTACAGTAACAAAGTTATAGGAAATGTGGAAATTAGACCTGCACACACTCTTACAAATTTTTTTCCTTCACAAGTAGGTGAATTTAATTTTTCTTGAAAATAAAAGCAAATTGGAGGATTTTGACAATGACAGTTAAACAAAGATATTGCAGTATTAAACAGGTGAGAAAGTAATCACTGTCCACCCAAATACATAGTAAGTGCCTAGCATACCTCACAGCAGATTGTTGGGTGCACAGAGAAACCAAATAGGCACAGTGTCATCCCCAAACTCTTCATTCTACTTGGGAAGACAGACTGTAAAAAAGTAACAGAGATTGTGTGGAAAATGTTAAAATGATGAAAGACCACAGGTATTTCCTGGCTACAACAAGACTGTAGTAGACCTTAGGAAAACTGCCTTGGGGAACACAGCTGTACTCAGCACAGCTTCCTGACAGCAGCTGAAAGAGAAGTGGAGAGAACATACGCTGCACACTTAAAGAATGCCTGTTAAATTCTGCCACTTGCATTTGAAATTTTCCCCCTTAGTTCACAATCAGAAAAGGATTTTTAAGCATATAAAATGGCATTCCTTATGAAGAAACATAAGAATGTGTTAAATATCACTTTATGTGAATAAAAATGAATAATTTTACTGAAGTATTAAATGACATCTATACCTATGTCTCACACCATGCACTAAACTAAAATCAAAATGGATTAAAGATCCAAATATTAAAACAGAAACACTAAACTGGCTGCAAATGAGATTAGGTAGAACTCTTGAAGACTTTGGCATAGAAGATTTTATGAACAAAATCCCTAGGCCTGCAGAGGTGAAGAGCTAAGTAGAGATTTCACAAGGCTTTGTTGTACTGGAAGATGCCGGGCCTCAGAGCATGAAAGTGTTAGAGGGAGTGGAAATATCTGTACAAGGTTAATGGAAGGACTTTGGTAATCATAGCAGCTCTGTTTCTGACAGAGATTGAAGCAACCTAAGTACCTATTAGGTTTATCGACAGACTATATGAAGTATGTACACACAGAAATATCACTAAGCCTTATAAACATAAGCAATTGGGAGACATGCTACATTTAATAAACTTTTTTTCCCCTGAAGTTGAAAAATAACATTTATTATGGGCCTAATAGTGCCAACATTCATACCAGGCAGCTATGGCTTGGCCTCAGAAAATATGCTGGGCTCTGTCTGCTGTCTTCTCTGTGTCAGAGTCTGTGAATTTTACTGGGTTTGGGGTACTGGGGTCTCATTTTGCAGGTAATTTCTAAGCTATTTCTGAGCTTAGAAATTTCCTGAGCAACATGACATTAAATTAAGTAAAATTAGCCCTTCAAAATAGAAGAGAAATTTGATGTAAATCCATTTATACAATGTGTTTAAGTCAGTCAAATTCGTAGAAACAGAAATTAGAACTATGCTAGCCAAGGGTCTGAGAAATCAGTGAGAAAAATTTCTTTAACTTGAGAATATTTCAGTATTGCAAGATGAAAATATTCTAGACATTGCCTTCAAAATATGTTACATTAATGAAGTAAACACCTTATACAGGGTTATAACTACATGTATTACTTTTTAAAGGAGTTACTACTTTACTACATGGTTTCCCTTCCTCAGTAGTTTTTTTCCAGTGTGTGGCCTGCTGTTGCTCTTTTGTGATGATGAAGCAAATTCTGTCTTTGCAGGAAATGGAAGATTTTGTGCAGAGCTCTGGGGAACATGGTGTTGTGCTGTTTTCTCTGGGATCGATGGTTGGGAACATGACAGAAGAAAGAGCCAACATAATTGCATCGGCCCTTGCTCAGATTCCACAAAAGGTGAGATAAAGTGCTTTAGTGGTGGATAACTATTAACTAATGAGGCTGTAAAGAGCCTGATTACAGAAACGTCTATGGTGAGAGATGCACCTTCATGATTTCGCTCATTTATGCCACAAATGATATTTGGAACAAAGATATATGTCATGAGTTCAAAGAGTATACAGGGTGCTTTGTATAACATTGTGATCAGAAAGACACATACTAAACAAGTGTATTTTGACTTAGTGTTAGATTAGTATTGCAGGCAGAGACACAGAAGTTACCAAATTCTGCCCTGGCCTTTCTTTATTATCTTTGCAGGATTATGGAGGACAGTGTATATATTACAAAGAATCTGGTTAAATTTTAGTGAGTCAAAGCAGGAGTGCAATGAAGATAAGTAAATATTATACAGTCAGATGTGCATTACTTAGCAACATCTCCTATGTGAATCTGCTTCCTTTATTCTCATAAATACTGGAAAGGCCTATCCATAATGCCATATTTGGTGCTATTCAGAAAAAGGAAGGAAGATTAGCTGGGGATTTAGCTCTGCCTCACAAGCCCAAAGTCCCAAGTTTGATCCCCAGTACAAAAACAGCAACAAAACAAAATAAAAACAGTGAAGATTAAGCATAACTCTCTGTCAGTATGGTTGGCTTGCGAGCTGCCCAAGAGATTGGAAAAATGACACTTTCAGGTGTTTCTGAGTAGGTAATGGAGACATGACCTTGGGTCATGGTTTCTTGGCCCTTCTCTCTGGCACTGTTCCCTTGCTCTGCTTCCAAGCCACCATCAGCTAAGCAGCTTTGCTCTGCTGTGCCCTTACCCTGTGATGTTTTTCCCATGGAGCCAGCAATCATGGATGGAATCTACTAGAATCAGGAGCCAGATAAATGTCTTTTCCTTCAGCTATGGGTGTTGAATACTTTATCTGAGCTACAGGGAAGCTGCCCACTACAGAAAAGTGGTACCAGGCAAAAGGGGTCATTGTTGTGACTATATCAATGTGGCTTGGAAGCTACTGAAACTGATTTGTCAGAAAATGTTGGAAAGGATTGGAGATACAGGGTAGGGAAGCCCAGGATACTGTGAATATAGCATGACTGGAGATTCTGCTCAGAGCTGAGAAGATCACTATGCTAATAGGAAGGGAGGTCATTCAGTGAGCTCCTGAGGGAGCCGTGTTTGAAGCTTCAGCTTTCAAATGAGGCAAATGTGCAGCGAAGACTGGGAAGCCAGGGCTGCTAGGACTGGTGAACATTTGCTCATGAGAGCCACAGGCAGTATGTGGATATCTCCCTACAGAGAGGCTACATGGGTTGCAACTGGCAAGGGAATAGGGTTGTGTCTCTGCAAATCTACTGGAATTCGGATATAACCATCGCATATCCTGGATGTCAGACATCAAATAAAAGGCCTTAATGCTTGTCTTACTGAGTTTCAGGCTTGCTTTTGTCTTATGCTTTCCTATTGTACTATTTCTCATCCTTGGAATGGAAATGCTTACCCTGGACCACTGAACCATGCAATTACATAACTTGAGCATTATTTTATAGGGGTTCACAAATGAGACTTTCTTTGAGTCTCAGAGGAGATTTTTGCTTGCATTTCTGAACAATGCTAGATCTGTTGGGAAGTTGGGAAAGGACTACCAGATTTTTGGTTTTATACAGCATATTTGTATCATGTTAGGTACAATTATGAACTGATTTTTTACTTTCTTTGGATAGTAAGTAAGGTTTGAAGACATTTTGTTGAGTGTCAAATTAAAAAGCAGTAAAATGTCAACTTGACTTTCATTAACTGCAGAGTGGATCTGTGAAGCTTACATCTCAGTATTTGTAGAAATATCATGAAGGCATGACCTGGGATACTATATCTGATTCATGATCCCTTCCTCTCTGGCACTGTTTCACTGTGTTGCTTTTCAGCCAACAATATCTAAACAACTTTGTTCTGCCATTCTCTTTCCTTTTGATATTTCTCACTTGGAGCCTGCCAACCATGAAATGAATCTGCTGAAACTGTGGGCCAAATAAAGTCCTTTCAGCTGTTGGTGCCAGATACTTTGACTTTTTTCTACTAAGGGAAATATAAAATTTACCAACTCTGACTGAAAGTACCAAACCAATCAATTAGATTTAAAGAAAGAGAAATCTCAACCTACCGTGGTAGATTTGCCCCTGTAATGTCTGAAAGAGGACTATTTATTCAACTCTATAAATTAAAAATGTAGTCCCCATTGTCAAACATTAATAAAATAATATGAAATCAATGATTATAAATAAACTTCCTCAAGTAGCACTTTGAAAAGGCAACATATATTTAGCATGTCACAATTAGTATAAAATATAGATTATTCAGTGTTTAGTCAGACATATTAGTACATTGTTGCACTAGAACTATACTGAATATTTGTGAAATATTCTATATGATATCGATTAACTCATTTGTCTGATTCAATTTATCATGCCAAATTTTATTAAATATAAAATGAATACAAGAAAAGCATGCATTCTATGTACATAGCCAATTTAGTAGTTATCAGTAACATCTCTTGTTCTCATTATCTCTCATATGATAGACATTTACCTGTGTGAGTTCTTAAACTGTGTGAGTTAAATTTAAAGTTTAACTAAAGTAACTAGAGGCTTTCTTACCCTGAAAGGTGATATGGAGATTTGATGGCAAGAAGCCAGATACCCTAGGACCCAACACTCAGCTGTACAAATGGATTCCTCAGAATGACCTTCTTGGTGAGACTCTGCAGAACAAATCATGAAACATGAGAAACAGACAAATGACAAGATAACAGATTGGCAGGAAATAATATATTGAAAATTTGCTATGAACAATGCAAAAACTTCCTATTGACTTTACATTTAAGTTCCCTTCTTAGGGAGAAAATGGATAAAGAACAATTATTGGTCTTTTATTGTACAGTCTTTATTGTCAGAAGAATTTTTAAATCACTTTTCACATTGACTTCATCTCTTCTTTTACTTTATTCCTATACTTTCCTTCTCTGGGGCTATATCATTCGTGGCTGAAAAGTAAAACTCTCTCATTTATTACATCTGACTCTATTTTCCTTAGCAAACATTCCAGGTAATCAACTGACAAAATGTGTCATGGTGAAGACTAACCTTTCCTTCTAATGATTCAAGAACCATAAATTCTCCCTGCTTCTCTAAACAACTCCATACCAAACTCAAGAACTGCACTGTGTCTGTAGGAAAACACATTCTCCCACGACACTGCATGTTTTCACATGCTTTTTCTTTCTTCCAGGATGTGTTCTTTCTTTTGCCCAACTGACAACCTTGTTTCACTTTATCAAGTCTCAATTCACACACCACATTTTTCCTTGCAGCCTTCACTTACCTCAGTGGATTAATCACCCTCTACATAGATAATAATCAATTACCATGAAAACACTCATCCTTCAGTGCCTTCTATTGCAACTTTTTATTTAATATTTAAAACTTATAGTCAATAATTTTCTTTAAATTCTTACAATCCTAGGTCACCCCAAAACCAAAGCCTTTATGACTCATGGTGGAACCAATGGCATCTATGAGGCGATCTACCATGGTGTCCCTATGGTGGGCATTCCTCTGTTTGGGGATCAACTGGATAACATTGTTCACATGAAGGCCAAGGGAGCAGCTGTTGGATTGGATTTCATCACAATGACAAGAACAGATTTGCTCAATGCACTGGAGACTGTCATTGATGATCCTTCGTGAGTACAAATTTTATCTATTAGGTAGTTTTCAAAAAGCATTTATCTTGAAAATAAAAACAGATTTCATTCAATTTTGAGTCTAATTTTGAAAGCTGAAATGATGTAAATACTGTGAAATGGACTTTTACTCTCAACCAGTGATTTCAACTGCAAATTGACCCCATAGATCCACTGCTTGACTGGTTTTTAATAAAACAATTTCAAAATGTATAAAATTTTTATTATGTACTTACAGGTAATCCATTTTAATAATATGACAGATTGCATATTTGAAGGGGATAATGAATTTTTAAAATATGATAAAATATTTAAAGTCAATATCTAACTTTCTGAAACTAAAATTCTTTTTATTAAATTGTACTTACTTTGAGACAAATTATGCACTTCCTCCCTCAAGGTGCATGTGTTGGGTATTTTTTCCTAGTAACAAAAAAGTATAAAAATACAAGAATATTCTTTACATACAGTATCATAAAATTAGATTGCACAATTTTCAATATGCTGGAAATTGTTGTTCCATTTATTATGAGGCTTTTCATTATTGTTCATGTTTTAGTATTAATCATGCTGTCTATTGTTGAATAATATAATTTAGTGCAATATGCCATATTTTATTCATTCATTTTTTTTACTTTATGGACTCTTTCTTGTTTCTAATTTGAATAAGGCTATGTATGTTTTGTGTATGAAAATATAAATTTTTCTCCTACTATATATTATTGAAGTTTACAATTACTGCCTCACATGAAAACTGCATGCTACTGAGTAAAAGTCAATCTGTTTTCCAAATAAAATTTGAAATTTACATGCTGAACCAGTAGTGTAGGAACGCTCAAATTTTTCCACATCATTAATAAAACATTATTATCTAAATTTTTGATTATAGACTTTCAAGGGGTCCCAATGTGCTATCTTATTATGATCTCACTTTTCATTTCTCTTATGCATAAAAGTAATAATTAGTTGTTCACAGGCCTATTGGCTATCCATATTTTTATTTTGGGGAGATAATTTTTCAATCCCAAATCTTTCCTTATTATTTGTCCACTTACTGTTTCATTGTAAGTATTCTGAATGGAATACAAAATACTAAACCAATTTTGAGATAATTGAATGGCAGATATTTTCTTCCATTCAAAACACATGGATTATGCCTTTTGTAATGATGCATTTTAAAGCATCAAAATTTGTCATCCAAAGTTGTGTTTTCATTGCAGATATATCAACATCTTCACAAGAATTATCAACACAATTATATAATAGTCAGCTATTCATTAATGATAGGTGCATTATATTAAATAGTTCATATTTAAAGTACTCTTAAAACACAATGAACTTTAAAATTCTACAGAAAAAGTGCTAAGTGAACACATAATAATAGAGGATGAGAATGTACATGGAAGAAAACCTTTCCTATATGTAAACCTTTGTGGTCAGGTGATCTAAAGATGGGATTTAAACCTCATTCTAAATATAATCAGATGACAGAAATCTTGAGCAGTGTACTGTCCTAAACTGATGTGAACTTGGAAAAAAAATTCTACTATGTGGAAATTAAAGAGAAGAGGGTAGAAGAATGGAAAAAGTTTACTTAGCAGTCATTTCACCCACCGGATATAATTCCTCTTTAAAAATTTCAAGATGATGGACAAGGGGAAAAAAAATGAGAACCAAGACCTGTCATATAAAGGTACAAGATCCCAATAATGAACGTAATTGCACTGTAGACCTTAAATGTATCAGTAAACTCAATTAATAATAAAAAATTTCAAGATGATAGTTTCAATTGGTTTTTCAGAATCTCACTAACCACATGGAGATTAAAAGATTCCTACAAGAAAACTCCAACATAAAAACAAAACTTTCTAACGTTATCTAGCTCAGTATATCACTTTTAAAACATACTTTGACACATCTTTATAAAACATTCTAAAAACCTTTTATACACTTAGGCAAATTAAGTGACTCGATGTTGGTCTTTCTGTTTCCCCTGTAGCTACAAAGAGAATGCCATGAGGCTATCAAGGATTCACCATGACCAGCCACTGAAGCCTCTGGACCGAGCAGTCTTCTGGATCGAGTTTGTCATGCGCCACAGAGGAGCCAAGCACCTTCGTGTTGCTGCCCACAACCTCTCCTGGTTCCAGTACCATTCTTTGGATGTGATTGGGTTCCTGCTGGCCTGTGTGGCCACTGTGATTTTCATCCTCAGTAAATGCTGTCTGTTTTGTTACCAAAAGTTGGCAAAGACTGGAAAGAAGAAAAAAAGGGAGTAGTTTTATCTGCCTGAAGTTGGCAGTACTAATGGGTGGGAATTATATACTTGAAACTTCACCCAGTTTATTCCAGTAAGGAGAGGTTGTGATGACAAATTCCTCCCTCCTGTGCTACACTAATTTCACAATTTACATAACAGAGTCTAAGTGTGATTTCCAAGATATTTAATACCTGGTAAAGAAGTAGAAAATTAGGGCTATGAATAGAGGATTGTTGTGGGAAAATAAAAATATGAGTGCCTGTTGAAATTACAACTATCATTTATACCCTACACTAAAATAATTCATTTAGCTGGTTCATGAGTTATTCATGGACATAACATTAAAAGGTTCATGTATACTAACAACATGATTTTGCAAATACTCAGCATATTATAGCTTCATCATTTTCTGGAGAAAATACTCATTAATTAAAATTCTGTGAAACATACTCATGATTCCTTTTGATTTTGGAACACCAGTAGTGCTTCTTGACATTCTCCCCTCACATGCATTAATTTATTTTAAAAAATTTAATTGTTACAAGAATTAAGGAGAATTTACAATAAAATCATTTTATGCCATTCATCTAACAATTGGCACTTTTAAAAGAAAAATATTGTCAATGCAATGCCTGTAGTTTATATAAAATCTTGCACGTAATGTGGAATTAATTTTTATCAGAAAAATCATGTATTACATGTAAGAACAAATGACATATATGCATTGTGTACTAGAAAATATTATATAAATCAGTGACCAAATATGTAGGGTGAAATATGCACAAAATAGATGAAAGAGGTGAAAAGGTAATTCCCAGAAGTGAAAAAAGGCACAGGAACACATAAAAGATTACAAAAGTTACTGATTTACTTGTACAAAATCACTCTGAATGAAAAAGAGATTAAATTTTCTACAAGATAGTTTTAAAAATGTAAAGAGATAAGACAAAATATTTAATAGGATGTTGCCTGTGGGAAACTGACATCTGCAATAATGACACACCAACTGAAGGTGTACAAATGGGAAGAGTTATACAAGCAATAACTGTCCTTATGTATGTGGAATTACACCACCCTGCAGAATAGTTAAATTTTATATAAAACTTTTCCCACAGTATACTCCTCCCACAGTTGTACTTTCATATTTTTGTACACTGTAAAATGTCTCTGGAGAAACAGTTGGATTGACTTAATTTCCACTTCACTAAGATCGCTCTTCCTTTTGACATCTTTCATATGCCAGTGACTGACTCCTGTGAGATGATTCTTCCTATCCCTGCTCTATTCCTGTTGCAATGCTTGTCTTTCTGCTTGATAATTTGCACTTGTGTTCAGTATGCAATGGCTGCCAGTCCTTTATTACAGTAGGTTTGAAAAAAATTTAATCCTCATTTGCGTATATGATTTAATATTGCTATGTGCTATTGCAATATATTCATTCAAGTTTTTCATGTAAAAGGCATCAATATTTTCATGAGTTCTTTGGAAATCTTTACTATAGTCCATCCTTGTCATTCCCCTAGCATCAATGTTTTAAACTATTTTGAAAGTTAATTTATAGTTTAAACTGGAAAATACTTTTGTGTTTTAGGTGATGATCTCTTTACTATAATGACAAAGGGACACTTTAGTGATAATCACTATTTTACAAAGTTCTTTCCAATTGTGTAAAATGTCAGAACATATTTGCAAAGTAGTAGTGATGACTTTTCTTATTTGGAAAGGCATTGAAATGTACTCTTGGGAGAAAATGAAGTCTGGCTGTGGACATTGAAGGTTCTACCACCACACAGCATACAAATCAGTCCTGTTATCTTCTATAAATGCTTTAAAATGAGACTGTTATCAGCTAGATTCACCTTGCTCATGAGGACAGAAAGAAATGGGAATAAAACCAAAGACTTTCTAACAATATTAAAGTAATCAGAATACAGACAATGTATTGTTCAGTAGCCTTGACAGTGAACTCTTGATTATTATTCACACTTCTAATAGAGATAATTATTAACAAAAGTCTGGGTATCGCAATGAGTTTTCTTTCGCTGTGATTTTTTTATATTAAGCACATTGCAAACTGTTAAAGTAGCTAATAACAGGAATAAGAAGGATCAGCGGGGATGCTCCTGGATAAAGAACAAACAAGCACTAGGAAACATTGAAGTAGGAACATGTAGTTGTAATAATACTAAAAATAACTAAGCACAATTATGAATTTCTTTCAGCATGAAAACTCATGAGATGCTATTTTTAAATAAGTAATACTGTGTTTTTTAGATATACACCGCATTGTTAGGGACCCATACAAATACTAACAAGTACAATGTAGTAAAACAAATGAGCATATCCATCCACTCACAAAGTTAGTAATTGAATTTCTTTTGAAAACTGTTCTACCTGGTTTAGAACTGATCAAACATAATAAGAAATAGGGCTTTTGAATTTACCCAATCAAAATTATAGGGGGAAAAAATGAGAATGAAGACTTGCCATGTAAAGGTACATGATCCCAACAATGAATGTAACTGTACTGTATCCCTAAATGTACCAATAAACTCAATAAAAAAAAAAAAGAAAAAAAAATTATATGGAATAAAGGCTAAGATTGGCATACTTTTGTAACTCAGGGTTAAAGGTGTATTTGTCTTGTTTGGAAGAATGATAAAACAAAAATATCCCTGTTAGAAATAAAATTTTCTATGCAATAGAAAAAAATTCTGAAGCAAAATTTATTTTCATGTTATTTAAACAATTCACTAATTTCAATTGTATCATTATCAGAAATTCATTCAGATGACTGATGGTTATAGAGTTGATCTGTGATAGAGATGGTTGAGCTTTATGGGTTATTTTATAATTAATTTCAGCATTGTTTATTTCTGTTTTGAATCCTTGTGTTCCTATACATTCATATATTTAAAATAAAATTGTCTCAGAACTTGAAAGATGAAAGGTTTTATAGCATTTTTTCTTTATATGTGACCATTTAGAATTTCTTTTTAAATATTTGTTACTTCTGAGGGACTTGAAAGCTTTAGGCATCAATCTTGAAGAAATCAATGCATGGACTTCTCTTAAAATTTTGCTCCTCTCATAAAAAAATAAGATTGTTATGACTCAATGAAATGTAGCATTATGTATTTACCTATGGATGTATATATTTAATTTTTAAAATTAATTAAATTTTTGGTATATTTAAGGTATAAAATATAATGACATTCATCATTGGAAATTTGCACCTTTACATAATCCATCTTGCCATCTTATTTTTTCCCCATGCCCCTGCACTCCATTCAACCCTTCCTCCCCTCCCAATCTACAATAACTTTGTTGCCATTTTTTCTTTTTCTCATATTAATTCCATTCCCGTTTTTCTTTTCTTCTACCCCTCCCATTTCTCCTACCCCTGTGCACCTTTTCTTCCTATTTCACATTATGTATTATAACTTTTAGTCCTTGTTTACACTTTCAGTTTCTCACACTAGAGAAACTATTCAGTATTTACACATATGCATCCTCTTTATTTCACTTAAGAGTATCTCCTCAATGTGCACCCATTTAGCTATAAATGTCTCTAGTTTTTAATTCTTTACGGCA